ACTCTTGATTTCTATACATTCATTCTTCTAATAAAAGGGCTAACTTTAGCATCGGAGTGTCTCCGGCCGGCAACCCCGGTTGGGTGGCGCCGATCATGTTCGTCTTTGCAGATCTACAGGGATGAACCTCTTCTCTTCGTTGGATCTCTACAACATCCATGTGAGAGGATATTTCATAGTCTCACAGTATGCAAATAGGTCCCTACTTCTCATTTTAATTGAAGGAAGAGAGGTCTATCAACGTTAAAGTAGATAACCAATTGGGTTAGTTGAGTTGATTAGTCATGTACATTGTCAATTGAATTTTAAGTGATTAATTATTGCCATAGATAAAAATTAATTACTTGCTTTCTTTCATAGCACTTTTATTTAGTTGTTTATTTCTTTCTTATTATCGGTTCTTTCTTATATTGGTTATTGGTATTATTATTATAAAAATAATAATATTAAATTAGATAATTAATTTTATAAAAAAATTCAACACGACAAACAGTAAGTCTATATGGTTAAGATTTGTTTGTCGAAGTGAGAAATCTAGTGTTATAAGAGAAGGGGTATTTGGTCAAAATAATAAATGGGTTGAGTTAATGTTGAAATAATTCTGACACAAATTTAAAATAACACAACCCAACATGATATAATGCCCACCCTCAATAGATAAAATGTTTGAATTAGTGATCATGGGCAAATTTTTCAGAGCATTTTCTTATGCTGAAGCACTCCTTATTGCATAGTAAAGGACAACAAAACAGAACATTTTGAATCTACAATCAGTTTAGAGCTGTAATCTAAATTGAAACTTTTACGAATCTCCTATTTTTCTTTATTCAAACTATGCAAGTGAATTTATCTTTATTAATTTTCAAATTATTTATTTGAGTTTTTGACAAGTTATGTCAAAATTTCAACTTAATCATATTGGGGGAAAATGAACTTTCATCCCCAAATTTGTTTAGTATTTTTAAAATTACAAGGTAGAAAGACTTGAGCATCATAGAGAAAATGTATGCTCTTAGAATTACAAGAGGTCACAACCTATATCAACAACAACATCACAAATCCTAGTTGGTTAGGATACCAAATTCAAAACAAGAAAAACAGTCAGACAGAATCTAAAAAATCAGCAGAAAAAGATCATATACTCTCCAAAGGTTCACTGGTATTGCAAAGGAAGCCTTCAATGATGACAAACACACTCAGATTTTGCCTTTACCCATGACGCTACTCACTTTCACTAATTTGATTATATTCTCCCAATCAATTTCCTCATTGTTAAATGTCAGACTATTCCTGCTTGACCATAGAGACCACATGATTGGGAAAAATATTGTCTCCCAAATTAATTTTTTCAGATCACAATACCTTGAAGTAATCAAGCCAGCTCAACAGTATAGGCAACTTAGCAGTTTGCCCAAGCTGCACCAATAAATTCTTTCTTGCCAAAGGCCCCAACTGTCCAAGGCCATAGAGGGTAAGGCCTCATTTTGATGTTTGGCCTAGGGCTCAAAAAACTTTAGGCAACTACTGTGAAGTAAACCACCAATTCATCAAGCTTTGTAAGTATCCTGGGAAAACTTGCATGACTGATTGCACAGTAATAACAAATGAACTATTGTTTCAACCTCTGCATCACCCAAAAAAAAAAAAAAAAAATTACTACTAACAGACAATGGTAAGATATCTTAATTAATTAAAAGATCCTTAGTAGATGTGCTTGCCACCAAAAAATTTGGATCCTTGGAGGAGCTAGACTTGTTCTGATTGTCCTAATAGGGTCAAAGCTCAATCCCAAAGCTCTTCTAATAACAAATGCAAAAAGAGTTTACTGAAAATTAATAGCCCATTCTTTTCAGCTTTTCAGTGAATACCATCCTCCTTATGAATGTCTTTTTCACATTGTCTAAAATTCTCTGCGGCTCTTTTAAACAATCCTCCTCCCATACAAATTGCTGTCTCCTAAATTCCAATCTCCACCTCTTACTTTCACAGTCATGAATAAACACTCCAGCTACACTGTCAAGTTTTCCATTGAAAGTGAAAAATAACCTAGGAAAATTCTGCTTTAATGATTTGTCACCAGCCCAATTGTTAGTCCAGAACTTCCAATTTAATCCATCTCCTATCTTCAACAGCATATTACTCATATATTCTATGGTAACCATAACTTTCCATCTCTGCTGTACTAATAAATTTTAGTATCTTTAGTACTAATAATGATTTCTTTTCTTTCCCAAACCTCCACCACCATTATGACAGCAAGGCAACATTTTTTATTCTGATGCCACCACTAGCCCCCCCAAACTCCATTATAGTAGAAATCTTTTTCCAATTCACCAAGTGAACTTTCCTCTTTTCAGAATAAAGGAAAGTTATGGTTTGTTAATCAAATGCTTGGGTTCATTTACTTTTTAATGCACCGGACAGTAGAGATGGATGCGAAGACAATGTATCAAACTTTTGACTCCTTAGAAATAGAAATCTAAATCAACAACACGTTGTACATGCCTTACTAGCTGAGCTATATCAGCTTCATTTAGTTTTCAAACTATAGTGAAACAATTCTTTGTTTATTGTATTGTGACTATAAACTATAATTTTAATAGAATTATGTAATCTATAATTCATAATGATTGTTGCACTGAACTAAAATCCTCCGTGCTGTACTGTACAGGTGACTAAACAAGGAAAAACGACTTATTTTACACTTTTCTATTGAAAAATAAATAAATAAATAAATAGAACTATTCAGTAACATAAAACAGGCTTATGCATTGGTGGTACTTCCCACTATTCCCTAATCAAATGAATTAAAAAGACAAAAAAGAAAAAAAAGAGAAGAAAACTCTTATTGACAATTGATATGTAGAAGTAATGTGGATGATCAGAGTTGAGCTCTTATCAAGGTTGAAGTAAATGAAGCATTAACGACAAAAACAAAGCCAATTAAATCTGCTGTTGAAACATTATCAACAACATTATCGGTTATAGTAGTAAAGAAAACGACCACATCACTCCACAATAACAAATAAATACTTCTTAATTATGTTATAGAACACCAAATGTTTTTTTTTTTAAAAGGCAAAATAAAATATTTTATTCATGAATAATGTTGTACAAGCAGTACAACAAAATTATATCAATAAATGATGCACATTCCAACTAGAACGGCATACGCATCAAGCAAAACATAAAACCAAACTCAGGCCAAGCCAAACAAACTTGGCAAGACACAACACCAAACAACCCTTTTAAAGACAAGGTGAATCACCAAACAAAATCAACCCCACTCCAACAGCAGGCCACAACACACTGCAAAAAAAACACAACTACAAAGAAGAAAATTCCAGCAATTCCAAACAACACTCGAGCAACTCTGACCATCACTCAAGACAACAATGAAGCACCACCATAAAGCTCAGAAAACTCCGAACTACACGAATTTGACAGCAAATATCCGACACAACTACAAAGAAGAAAATATCAGCAATTCCAAACAACACTTGAGCAACTCTAACCATCACTCAAGACAACAATGAGGCACCACCATATATAAAGCTCAGAAAACTCCGAACTGCACGAATTTGACACCAAAAATCCGTCAGCAACACCACAACCACAACACTAACACCGAAAATCATTCACCACCACAACACTAAATGTTCTGTCTAAACTCTCTGCATATAGCCACAAGCTAATTAAAGTTGCTGGTTGCCTGAAGAAATCTTCATCTCATACACATGAAATTTCAAAGCTAAACATTCACCATGTCCTCCTTGATGGAAAGCAAGCAAGCATGTAAGATAGATGACTGGGGCACTTGTCTTTTTGTTAATCAAGTGAACTGGTCACTATGTTTAGTTCTTCATCCTCTTTAGCAAGCTAGAAACCTTGAAAGCAACATTGAAAAGCAGAGAAGATCAGAAAAATAAAAATATAATAAACTAAAATTATAAAACATAAAAACTAGTAGATTTGGGGAAACAAAACTGATGCAAAAAAAAAAAAAAAAATTCAGGATTGAAGTAGCAGAAATTTAGGTAAATTACAAATACACCTCTCGAGGTTTACTTAAAACACGAATTGCTCTTTATGGTTCTGAAAATTATATCTCACCCCTTCAAGTTTTAAATACTATAACAAATGACCCCTTTCATTAATAAAACATCAAGCTAATAAACAATTTCTAATGATGTCAGAAATATAGTTCAATTAATAATCAATTAATAATTCAGACAATTTTTTTATTGTATAAAACCGTAATTAGAAATTTTATTTTTTCTATTAATTATGTTAAATAAAAAAAATGATAATAAGAAAAAAATCTATTTTAAGCAAATCTCATAGATGTATTTATAAGTTACCCTAAAAATTTTAACCGCGTGGCTGAAGAGATGCAAAAAGCAATTTTACCTTCACACTAGGGAATCAGAGGCAGATAGTTCCTTACGTTGTATTTGGTTGAGAGATTTAGAGAAGGGTTTTGAAAAAAGAAAAGAAAAATGTATGTGAAATAAGGTGAAATGTGATATATTTTATTAATATTTCATATACATTTTTCTTTTCTTTTTTCAAATCTCTTCTAAGCAAATACAGAATTAGTGAGCAATGAGAACAAATAACAAACTACCCCCAAGGCTTCCGTTTCTTCTTCTATTTTCATTTTCATTTTTTATTTTGAAAATTGGAAGGCATTACTTGTTTGCGAATTGTTTTTGTTTTTACATAAAAATAATGTTAATTCTAAAATTTTCAAAATTTTAAAAAATGTATCCTCCAATAATATACATCTGAAAAAAAAAAAAAAACTTACATCATATACAAGTTTTGATACTTTGTGATAGTCATTTTGTAGTGTTAATACCATAAAGTGTCGTAACAAAATTACTTTTAGTCATAGCTAAAGAAACCAAAATAAATCATAACCAAACGTCATTTGAGTTATAAGCAAAGACTTTTTTAGTAATAACTAAAATAACAATTATAATAGTTTATAACTAAATCGTAACCAATACCATAATGAGTCATGACCAATCAAGTCACCACCAAAACCACAATAAGTTATAATCAAACACCACTACACTTATACATATACCCAAAGATTTTTTTGATCATAAGCAAAAATAACAACTATAATAAGTCATAATTAATTCATAACTAACCACAAATAGTTAAGCCAATACTAGAATTAGTGTTAAAAGTTTCATAAAAAAATAAAATAAGAAAGTGTGTCGTTGCACCTGTGGAACGAGATAATAGTTCGTATTTCGGTCCATCTGGTGTCTGCTTCCGATGGTATACGCGCGGAATATGCTGAACCTTTTGGTGATCCTTGCTCCCTTCTCCACGTATGCATTCTATGAGCTCATTCGTAACAAACATCAAATCCAATTCTTGGAGATCTTCGAGATACTCGATGCCATGAGGTAGTATCTTCAACTGCATACATCTCCAAATATTAAATTCTTGGAGACCTGGCATCACCCCCCTCTCTATAATAATCTCATTTAACTGAGGGAAATTCCACAAGCACAATATTCTAAGTTTATGGAACCCTTCACTAAAGCATAATTGTCCTCCTCCTTCATATGCATTACAAAGGGCTAACCGTCCCAAATTCGGAAGTGCTTGAATGTATGGAATAGGGTCTTCTGTTAGTCTGGACCATCCCAATGACAAAGCAGTAAGGTTTTGAAGTGAGTGAAACCAACAAGGCACTTTCTCCAATTTTCCAACTAAAGCGAGCTTCTTGAGGTAACGAGGAGGTGAGGAGAGTGCATCCATTCGTAGGTATTCATCCTCATCAATCATCCTCACAGACAAGCGACGAAGGAGACTCATATTTTGGATTGCAGTACACAAGTCCTCCTCGTCTACTTCTCTCATGTTTGTGAATCCAATCCTTTTAAGTTGTGTCATGCTCTTGATTCGCTTCATCAAGTCTGCTGGTGGTTCTACACCTGTCAAAACTTGCAAGCTTTTTAGCTTGCAAATATTAGATGGTGTTGTCGTCCCACGACTAAAATAAAAGCCATCCAAAATTCCATACTCAAAGTGGTTCATCATTAGATGTCGCAAATTTTGCAACTCTGTGATTCCAGCTGGAAGCACTTCTATTTTGGAGTCAGTAATGTCTAGAGTGTTTAGGTTGAAGAGTCTTCCAATGGATTTTGGAAGTTCCTTCACCCTAGTTCGTTTCAAGTTCAAGTATCTTAAATTGAATAGATCCACTAGTTCTTCGGGCAATACTTCGATCGGTGCATTCTCAAGATCCAATACTCTTAACAATCGTAAGCCTAGTGGCAATGCTATCTCCTCAACAACAAATACAAGAAGAGACCGAAGCTTCATCATGCCCTTCCAGTTCCACGATTGTAATTCTCTATCGATTGATTGAATCGACATGCGACGATTTGTTGCACTTTCTTCATCATTTGCCTCTCGCCCATAATATGCAACACAAAACTTCTCTGTTTCAGATGTAGAAATTGCGAGCTCACGCATAAGATCATGCATCTTACATCTTTTTGGCCTTCCAAATTGGTTTCTGACTACAACTTGAAGCATGCTTCGGCAAATAAGCTCCATAAGGTAGCTTTCTGCTACCTCCTCTGGTGTTCTCCCCCTCACCTTTTCTACGAACCCTTCTGCCATCCAAAGTCTAATGAGCCTCTTTCGTTTAATCTTATAATCTTCCGGGAAAAGACAACAATATAAGAAGCAACACTTTAGTCGGTATGGCAAATCATTGAAGCTAAGCAACAATATAGTTTTCACAACTTCTAGCCCAGGGTTGTTGCTCAATTCCCAGCTCAAGCTACTATAAATATTTCTCCATTCCGACTCCAGATATTTAGAAGACATGACACCCCGCAAAGCTACAATTGCAAGAGGAAGCCCTTTACATTTTGCAACTAGGTCTTGAGCTAAGGTTTTGAGATGTTGAGGACAACATCTATTTGGATTGCTTGAAAAAGCTTTCATACAAAAGAGGTTCCACGCATCACTTGCACCCAACAATTTGATATAATGGACATGACTTTTTACCCTAAAAGAAGATGAAGCTACGTCTTCTTTTCGGGTTGTAAGTATGACCCGACTTCCTAGTCCTTCATCAAGAAGTGATACATGTATATCCCTCCAGAGGTTACTACTCCATACATCATCAAAGACAATTACGTACCTTTTCAACCGTAAGAAGTTCGTAATCATCTCTATGAGCTCTCTATAGCTCAGACTGCTTAAATCCACTGGAATTGCTTCCTTGGCACCACCGTAGAATTCTTTAATCATGCTTCTAAGTAAGTCGTCAACTACAAATTTTTGGGATACAGTTATCCATGCATAGCAATCGAATTGTCTCTTGACAATTCGGCTGTTGTAGGCCTGGGCAACCAGAGTAGTCTTACCTGAACCACCTATCCCCACCACTGAAATAACCGTGCGTTGTGATTCTTCTTTGTCCACCAACCAGTCCAATAGTTGTTTCTTTCCATCTTCGATCCCCACTAGATCATCATCTTTAAAAAATAAAGGGTCCTCAGCGTTGTTTAGCTTCCGTACCTGTACCTGATGATCATGGGAGCCGGAGCTGGAGCCTGGGCCTGCTACTCCTACACGATCGAGCTTGAACCACTCATTCCGAGAACACAAAAAACAGCGCGTTGTAGTTTTTTGTCCATCAACCAGCCCAGTAGTTGTCGCTTTGCATCTTTGATCATCATCTTTAAAAAATAGAGAAGACTCGCTGAGGTTTGACAGCCGACTCTGATGGTCTTGGGAGCTTGAGCTTGCTTCTCCTACACGATCGACCCCATAACATCGGTTTCTTTCTGGGATGGCTTTGATCATGCTGTTGATCTTCTGTAACTTTGTGGCTATTCGATGCCTCACCCATAGATTCTTTGGGGCGTAGACTATCTGACGGAGGAACCTTGTGAATTTACCACATACTTTTTGCTTGTTCATGTAATACATGTATTCGTCTATGATATCTTCAACCTCGTAGGCCAAGTCTCTAACATTGGCCACCCAAGTCTTCTCTCCTTCAGTTTGGATTGTTGTTTTATCGGCATCCTCCAGAAAAGCTCTCATGCTTGTTAATTCATGGTTGTAGGCCAAGTCTCTAACATTGGCCTCCCAAGTCTTCTCTCCTTCAGTTTGGATTGTTGTTTTATCGGCATCCTCCAGAAAAGCTCTCATGCTTGTTAATTCATGGTTGAGTTGGATGAGTTCATCTTGTACTCCTCCAATCAACGATGCTTCGTTCTCAAGGGCGGAAACTATCCTGCCAATCAAAAGTCCCACGGCAGCCAAGGCCATGTTAGCTTTCTACCTCCCTCCCCTCTTACTTCTTAGCACCCTGCTCTCTCTTGTCTTGAAGAGGAATAGTTTGTAATATGTACCTTGGTTCACTTTGTTTCTTACATTTTTTTTGGCCTTGGTTCATTTGTCACATCATTACATATGGGGACCTACGCAACATTATATGGACCAAACCTGCCAAACATTGTTGACAATTGTGTATATATCACTTAGTTTTATATTATCATATTACTTTATAGGGTAAGATATTATTTACTTTTTTTTAATTGCTTATTAATTATTTTAATACAAGAAACTCAATTATACATAAAAAGTGATATAAAACAGTAATAATAATAATAAATAAATAAAAGCTGAAATGCACCATTTTTCTACATTATTTTGGTGTCATATATTAAGCCCTGAATGGCTAATTCACTTTAAATTGAAACTCTGGGGGCTGCCTAGACTTAAATCAAATCATTGCCCGCTCTTACTGATGGAAGATGAAAGAGATTGGGGCCCCAAACCCTTCAGGTTTATCGATGTGTGGACTTTGCATCCCAAATTTGCTCAACTATTTACTACCAGCTGGGCGAATGCTAGTTTCGTAGGTTGGGCTGGGTTTATCCTCCAACAAAAACTAAAACACTTAAAGTTGGAACTAAGGAAATGAAATACTGAAGTGTTTGGAAATGTTTCAATCAAACTTAAGGCTACAGAGGATGAATTGCATGACCTTGACATCTTTGCGGAGGAAAAAGAATTGCTACACTCTGAAAAGGCTAGAAGAAGAGAAGTCAGAGGTGAAGTGTGGAAGCTCTACAGAAGGGTGGAGTGGCTATGGCATCAACAGTCCATACTGAATTGGTCTCTTAAAGGGGATAAAAATACTAGATTTTTTCAAGCTATTGCAAGCTCTCGCCAAAGTAGAAACATGATTAATACTATCTCAGCCAATGGTGTTTCTTATGAGGACCCTGGTAGGATTAAGCATGAGGTTTTCAACCATTTCAAGAACCACTTCCAGGAACATTGGATTAACAGGCTTGCTTTGAGTGGGGAGTTCAAAGTAATTGAGGATAGTCTTGTCTCTCACTGCTTGATACCTAATTTCACTGAAGAAGAAGTTCGGGCAGCCATTAAAGACTGTAATGGTAACAAAGCTCCAGGCCCGGATGGGTATAACCTGCTGTGCTATCAGAAATTCTGGAAAGTCATGAAACTGGAGATCATGCAATTCTTTAATGACTTTCACAAACATAGCAAGCTTACCTATGGTATCAACAGCTCTTTCATTACCCTCATTCCCAAGCTTGATAGTCCCATTAATCTGTCTGATTATAGACCCATTAGCTTGGTGGGCTCTCTATATAAAATTTTGGCTAAAGTCTTACTGCAGAGGCTAAAGCCTGTGATGCCTTCAATCATAGGTGAGACCCAGACAGCTTTCATAGGAGGCAGGAATATCCTAGATGGGGTGTTTATTGCTAACGAGGTTGTGGATGGATGGAAGAAGGCCAAGAGGCAAGGGTTAATAATCATGCTGGACTTCGAGAAAGCCTTTGATTCAGTCAACTGGGAATTCTTGTTTTCTATGATGGCTAGCTTTGGCTTTGGTTCTAAGTGGATCTCTTGGATAAAAACTTGTGTGTCTTCAGCCCATATTTCCATCCTTGTGAATGGACCTCCAACTAATGAGTTCTCTCCGTAAAGTGGCCTTAGGCAAGGCAACCCATTATCACCTTTTCTTTTCAACATAGTGGTTGAAGGGCTCAATATCCTCCTCACTAGAGCTATTAATCTTGGTCTCCTTAAAGGTGTCTTGGTTGGGGCTAATGAGGTCCTTGTATCACATCTCCAGTTTGCGGATGACTCTATTATCTTCTGTGCAGCAGATATGGATCAAGTGGTTGTCATCAAAAGAGTGCTTTGATGCTTTGAAGTTCTATTCGGACTCAGAATTAATTACCTCAAAAGTGTGGTATGTGGAGTGGGTGTGGTTGAAGAGTCACTGTAGAATTTTGCAAGTTACTTGAATTGCAAGGTGCTTAGATTGCCTTTGAAATTTCTGGGGCTGCCATTAGGTTCCAACCCATGGAGTAAATCTACTTGGAAACCTGTGCTAGACACTATCAGAGCTAGACTTTCAGGTTGGATGAGGAAAATGTTGTCCTTTGCTGGTAGACTAACCCTCATCAAATCTATCCTTTCTTGTCTACCCGTGTACTACCTCTCTCTCTTTAAGATGCCTGATGGTGTAGCCCGTGAAGTGGAGAAGATTGAAGCTGCCTTTCTGTGGGGTGGAAATGGGCTTAAAAGGAAAATTCATTTGGTGAAATGGCTAGATGTAACAAAAAGTGTTGCCCAAGGGGGCGTCGGCATCAGGAGACTCAGGGATGTTAACGCTTGTTTGATTCTCAAATGGTGGTGGAAATTTGGCACTCAAACAAATGCATTGTGGAGGAGAATCATTTGTAGTAAATACAAGGTAGAGGTTAATTGTTGGCATCCTCTTGTGGTATCTTCGTACAAACTCTCTAGGATGTGGAGGGACATTCTCTTCATTGGGAATCACAGTGCCAATATCTTTAACTTTTTTATACTAAGCTGCTAAATCAAGGTGGGGGATGGCTGTAGAACCAGATTTTGGTATGATAGGTGGTGTGGAGCCACTTGCCTCAAGATTGAGTTTCCCTCCATTTTCAACCTTTCTGTTGATAAGGAAGGTTCTCTTCAGCAATACCTTGCAAGGAAAACCAGCGAAACTGATTGGAATTTCAACTTCAGAAGAGTCTTGTATGCCTGGGAATTGTCGAATGAATCTAGACTGCTTAGATTGTTGGCCTCTGCTCCTTCATCAAGCACTGGGTGTATGGATAGATTGGTCTGGACCTCTACTACTGCTAGTCCCTTCTCTGTCTTTTCTCTTTATTCCTATAGCACCTCTCTCCTGGGGCCTGATCTTCCCATAACCAAATTTATTTGGTGCAACTTATTACCTCCCAAAGTCCATTTCTTTGGATGGCTAGCCTAGAGAAATAGAGTTAAAACCGCAGATTTTCTTCACAACCGTGGCATCCTTGGTTCCAATGCATCAATCTCCTGTACTTTCTGCAATTCTGCTGTTGAATCTGCCAGTCATGCTTTGCTTCATTGTCCTTTCTCTTGGTCCATTTGGTCTGCTGTGTTATCTGACTTAGGGATCCAATGATGCATCCCATACTCTATAGCAGAGTTACTTAACTGGTGGATGAGTAAGAAGTTTAGGGGCTTAATTTCCAAAGTTTGGAGGTCCATTCCTTTTGTTATTCTTTGGTCTCTTTGGAAGCATAGAAATGAGTGTGTATTCTCTAATGCTCATCCTAATTCAGTGGAACTGTGGGATTTAATCAAAGTTAGGTTAGCTTATTGGCTTAAGGCCTCTATCAAGGACTTCCCCTTTTCAGTCTCGGATTTTGTCTGCAACTGGAGGAATATTAGGAGCTTCACCTGAATATTAGGTTTTTGAGCTGCTGCATGCTCTGCATTAAGCCCTTTGCTGCTGCTGTCTGGTCTGTTCTACCTCGAACTGTCTCTGTTCTATTAGTGGTTATGCAGTGTGCTATAGTTTGGGTGCTATAATTGATTTATGCAGTGTGCTATAATTGAGTTTCATAGTAGTGGTTATGCTGTGGTTGGCTTGCCATGGTTGGTTGGTTTGGCTGGTAAGACATCTTAGTTTTGCGAGACCCATCTATGAATGCTCCAGCAGTGATGATTACTGCAAATTTCTGAGTTCAGATTCCGTTGGCCATCTATGAATTGCAGAGTTGTGAGACCCATCTATGGTTGTTCTGCTGATTTTGTTACTGAGTTGCTTGTTATGTGTTACGTTATGTTCTGGGGGGTTGTTGTAGTTGGGTTCTCTCCAACTTCTGGCTCCCCTTTCCCCTTCTTCATTGATGTAAATCTCCTTCTCTGTTTCATCAAATAAATGCTATTTTCTCTCTTTGCTGATAAATAAAAATACAAAATTAAAAATAAAATAAAAAGAAATAGTTAGATTTTTCTGATTACAAGTCCTGATGAATAATTCAATAACCATAGTAGTGTTAGACATTCTTCATTCATGAAATATAGAATACAATTGGATTCTACCACTAATTCCATATTTAATTTATGAACCGGACACCAAATCGAGTTCGGAGGGAATAAATTATTGATCGATCAAGCATGGTTATAGCATTGTTCCTGTTTTTTTTGAGAAACGAATATATTTTCTTGGACCAGTGTTTGAAATTGCTAAAGCTCAATTTACTTAGGCTTATTGGGTAATCATTTCGTTTTCCAGTTTTCAGTTTTCAGTTTATATTTAACAAAAATTTAAAAACTGTTATAAATTTATTGATAATTTTTTGAATTTAAAATGGTTGTCCCGTTTTATAGAAAAAATGAACCAAAAAAGTACGTGGTTTTTTTAAAACAAAATTTAAATATTTGGGACTATACATTTCTTTTTCAATTTAATTTTTTCTTTCAATATATCATTTTTTTCAATTTATTATTTCCTCAATTATTTTTTAATTATTTCAAATAATGTATATTCTATCAATTATATATATAAAAATATTTATTAATACATTAATATACTATTTAATTATTATTATATATATTCTTATATTATCTATTTTTATTATTTATATTTTTTTTTTTTTTTTATTTTTTTTTTTTTTTTTTTATACTTTCAAACGGCACTTGTAGTTTTTGTTTTTTCTAGAAATATATATATCAAAGAATCAATTATAAAATTTTTTATAAACATGAAACAAAAAAACGTAAACGTCACCAAACTATTTAACCTTAGGTTTAGTAGGCTACAAGTACTAAAGCTAGAGCAAAAGGACAAATGAATAGGTCCTCAAATTATAGTGACTAAAATTGTTTTTGGTTGTTGAAGGGAGAAGATTGCCATTCAACATTATCGATTTGTTTAGAAATCTAAATACGTTTATTTTTTAAATTTTTTACATAAAAATATAAAAAAAATAAAAAATTTGATCTAAAAAATAAATACAATTAAATATGTTATTTTAGTTCAACCTCAAAACAAGTT